TGTCTTTGTGTTCCTTTGTGCGCACGCTTCGCAGTTCCAGCAGTAAACTGGCTCAGCTCACCCTGGAACAGATCCTGGAGCTCATGGACAACCTGAGCCTGAGCAACACCAAGAACAGCTGTCAGAAAGTTTATAGAAAGATAGATTTATTTATCACACAGATTTATTGATCGCTTCAGGAGGGATTGAAAACTGATAGTTGATTGATTTTGTGTGCATCTGCCAGTCTTCACTCAGACCACGATCCTTCAGGCTCTGTAGCACGTTCAGGCCAGCTGTGACGAGGGCCACAAGATGAGGTATGCACACACTCGCACACACACACTGACGGGTGCCATCACTGTGGCGGCTGATGATATCACTTCCTCCTCCGAGAACGAAGACTCTCAGACCAAGCCTCCCAAGTCCTGCTGTAAGGCTCTGGCCTCCTCGCTTCGCTCCCTGAAAGGAGCGGCTCCGCCCAACAACGAGGAGGAGAGCTCCTCCAGCAGCGCCTCGGTACGTAGCCCCACCTCCACCTGTCCTCTGTAAGGAAAACCTGAATCTGCGTCTCGTTCTTTGATTAGTCCGTTTCAAAACCACTACGGAAAATTTGATATTTAATGTGGACAGACTGAGACAGGTGAGGACAGATGGACGAAGATGGGCGGGTGAGGACAGACAGGTGGGGACAGTGATATGAGGACAGACTGAGACAAGTGAGGACAGGCAGGTGAGAACAGAAAAGTGAGGACAGAGAGAGGTGAGGGCAGACGGGGACGGGTGAGGACAGACAAGCAGGCTGTAGGGTGAAGACAGGTGAGGACAGATGGATGACGATAGACAGTTGAGGACTGACAGGTGAGGACGGACTGAAACGGGTGAGGACAGACCAGACAGACAGGTGAGGATTGAGACAAGTGAGGACAGAGGAGGACAGATGGACAGGTGAGGGTGGATAGATGAGGACAGACTGGGACAGAGGTGAGGACAGTCCCTGGGTACCTGTTTAACAGCGGTTGTGTCTCCGTCCTCAATCTTCACAGTTCCAGCAGTAAACTGGCTCAGCTCACCCTGGAACAGATCTTGGAGCTCATGGACAACCTGAGCCTGAGAAACACCAAGAACAGCTGTCAGTACACACACAGGCTTATTGATCGCTTCAGGAGGGATTGATAACCGATTGACTGTGTGTGTCTCTGCCAGTCTTTACTCAGACCCCGATCCTTTTGTTCTGCAGCACGTTCAGGCCAGCTGTGACGAGGTCCACAAGATGAGGTGCGCACGCACTCACACACTTGACGGGTGACATCACTGCGGCGGCTGATGATATCACTTCCTCCTCCTGCAGGTTCAGCAACCTGTTCGAACGGGCGGAGGAGTACGAGGATTCCCAGACCAAGCCTCCCAAGTCCCGCTGCAAGGCTCCTCGCCTCCACCCAACAACGAGGAGGAGAGCGCCTCCAGCAGCGCCTCAGCACGTAGCCCCACCTGCTCCTCTGTGTGAGGACATCTGAATCTACGTCACGTTCTTTGATTGGTCCATTTCAAAACCACATGAAAATTTGATATTTAATGTGTCTGATTTGTGAAACCAGGAAGCAGTGTTGTGTCTTCACCAAGAAGGAACCTCCAGGTTTGAAAAGTGAAGCCTCAAACCTGCATTCTCTCTAACAGCCAGCACTGGGCGACTTCACTGGATCGTATAGAAGTCTATGAGAAAATGTGGCTGCTGATTTATTACCTCAGTAAACACTTTCCTAATGAGTTTATGGTCTCAGTCACTAGTTTCAAGTGTTTTTCAACACAGCATGATGTTCATTTAGTAAATTATGGTCCCATTTAGAGGAAAATAGACCAGAAAGCAGGGGAGGCTTTAGGGCGGGGCTACCTTGTGATTGACAAGTCGCTATGTGTGACCCAAATATGGTACCCCATGGATGTTCAGTTTGTGTTCAGGACGGAGCTGAACGCCTCTTTTCTCTCAGCTGGACAGGTAGGCTGGAATAAAATACAGCTGCTCCTTACTTTCTATAAATTGAACTAAAAGACATTCCGTTAGCTTCCTGCTCAGCTTCCAGTCTGGAGGGGAGATGTTTGTTAACCTGCTTCACTTCTCCAGCCGTTTGGGAACAGACTGTTGTTGGTCTGGAGAAGCTGAAGCATTTATTACCTGACACACTGACACCGTACTTTTACTGCCAGAATATTTTCCTCCTCTGAGATTCCAAGTCACTTTCTGTCACTTGGACAATCAAACACTCCAGATTAAAGGAGCTGCTCTGTAACCGCACGTGTCAGGTAGACATCCTGCAGGGTTTCCGTGGGGTCTTAAAAAGTCTTAAATTCGCTGAAGTTTGTGTTCTAGGTCTTAAATAGTTTTAAATGGGTATTTATTTTCCAACGTCCATGTAACGCTACCTCTAATTGAAATGGCCCTGCAGTTGTCAGGTTACAGCTCTGTCCTCTTCTGTACATCTCGACAGTTAAATTAAAAAGAGGACGGTGTTGACTACGCAGGAGCTGAGGTTAGTAACGTTAAAGCAGCTTGTTAATTAGTAGCTCATCAATGTCATCGTCCATCCCATGATTCCATAAAACTCCACATTTAAAGCTCCCTTTTATATCATTTAAGTAAAAGTGCTGCTGATGGAATAAAATTAGGCATAGTCGCTTTTTCCACAAAACACAGTAATGTAAGTAGTAAAAGGAAATTTTATTTAGCTGAAGATTCAAGTTATTATCACTTAACACTAAAAAATCTCATTAATAATCTGGAAATGGAGAAAGTTCAACAATGAAACAAATTGATTATCAAAATTGTTTCTGGTTAATTATCTGATCAAGCAGTCAATTACTTTGTCTATTCAGCTTGTGCCTTATGTTGTGTCTGAATGTAGAAATGAAGATGTTAAAGGTTTAGATACTAATAAAGAGAACCTGAATAATTCGTATTTTTGAGGACTACTGACTAGTAGTAATTTTGAGTGAGTTTCCATTAGTATTTTTTTGAGTAGATTTACATTTAGTGAGTAAAGAATAAGTAGAATTTAATTTTAATAAGCATCAGTGAATCATTGTAATTTAGTAAGCAGAAATTAAATGTTTTTAAAAAATCTATTATATTTAAGTTAAGGTTTACTTAACTTAAAATAAAAAACTTTAAATATTATTACCGCTACTATAAAAGTTTGAGGTAATCAGTTTCCACAAATATTCTGAGCATTCTGAACTTATTCGGGTTTATAGTGATTTCCAGGAAAAACACCTAAAATAACATACCCAAAATGAATCAGGACCATTTGGCCTAGATGCGTAATTCTTGTCTCCTTTGAAAGGTCAGATGCTAAGGAATATAAATCCATTGTAAATTAACATTTATTTTACCATTACAGACTAAATGGAGATGCAATAAAGAAAATTTTTTATCCTCACCTGGTTAAAAAAAAGCTGTATTTTAATGCAACCTGGAATGCAATTGTAACTGTAAATTTTATGAAAATAAACTTCATCAACATTCCTGTCACCAAAAGCTGCTTTACAGGCCTGTAGCTTGAGAATGGAACATTCCACAGTGATGGCGGGCGCGTTAATCGATCCAGCTTGAGCAGACCTTTTCATTTGATGTCTATGTAGCTCCTACGGGTCGGCCACCAAATGGCAAAAAAGACCGTGTGTTCTAAAGCGGCACTTCCCCTGCTCTGCAGAAAAAGGTAATCAGCTGATTTTTGGACTTAAAACGGGGCAAATGACAAAAGCAAGTCAGCGGTTTTGACGATCGCGTGCTGCCCCCCGCCAACAGAAAATGATACCCCCCTGTGTTTGCTAGCATGTTAACACCACAGCAGATGTAAAAGGTTATAAAATTCCAGGACTGTGCGTCTGCTCGACAAACAATAATACTAACAATATTTTTAATAAATAAGTCAGCAAGAAAATCATGTAATTTTAATAATAAAGTAATTCCTTTTTTAGAGTGTGGTTATTTTGTCAACAGAAACTATCCAATCATCTATCTAACAAAATCATGTCCTTCCTTTAAACTATGCTACTGTAAAACTTTGAATAATAGCCCGGGCTTTCATTTGCTAAAATCACTGAATCGCCTGCCCTCTGCCTATATTTGGGACAGGCGTCCATATGGGACAGGCCTTTAATTACTTTTGCACAAAACTGAAACTACAATGAAACAGTTTATTAATTTCAAACAGAATACTACTAGTATAAAAATTATCCAATAATATCAAATACATGTCATTAATTTGATCTAGCACCAACAGACGGCTTATGCGCTTTTATTTTGAAGTAACATTACGAAAACAACATGGTGCAGGATGAGAGAAGTGTGGCTGAAATTAGCAGAGAACGATTGACTTTACATGATAGGATTCACAACTTGGATTCATTTTATGAAAAGCTGTCTTGATTCTTTTGATCAGTGGACCCTTACAGACTAAAGGAATATAAGTAATCAAGGAACGGACACATTCGGACTTAATGAGCGCTAGAAAGGTAAAGACGGTCAGCACTTTTTTTTCCTTTCCTCTCTTGGTCCATGCAGGTTACACCGGTAAATCTATAGGAATTAGACTTTGGGGCTTGTTGTTTCCATTTAATGCACTGAAATATTGAATTGTGGAGAATCTAACCGATCTAACGTGCAGCATGTCCATACTGACATATTAATCATACCTTTTAAACATTAATATTTGTGTTCACGATCTAAGCAGCTTAGAAGCAGCTAAAGTGGGTGACCTTGTGGGGTTTAAGAGGTTTTATACATCCAAAGAACTTCTATAAAAACCAGACTAGGCGTTTAATGGAGGCAGGCGTTTATTTGTCAAAATGTGTTCCCACACCAGGTCAGTAAAGGAGATAGGCGGCTATTTGGGACTCAGCTATTAATTGAAGTTTTATGGTATATGTTTTTTAGGGCTATGATGAGCGCAATTGATATGACATCAACTTAATACAAAACATGCACTTACAATATGTCACAATAACAAACACAACTGACGTGATAAGTGGTTTTCTTTTTTTTATTTTGCTGTCAGGTCAGGCAATAGCTGCTTTGTTTTTCTCTGTGGTGTGCCTTTATTCAGAATTGCTTAAATCATTTATGGTCCACATGGTATGTGGTCTTCGTTCAAAATTGGCTTTAGTTGAAGTGACCCAGCATGGAATTTCTTCCATAATGGATAGTTGTGGGTGGTTCTGCTTTCATTGTTGGGAGGGTCCCAGAGTCTTTGTTCTGAATTAGATTGAGACCGCTAGCTCGTCCAGTGCATCCTGGAGCCTGTACAAAACACAAATTAAACATTTTGACTTTCAAAACATTCATGTTGAACATGTCTTGTTTGCTTACTGGAACTACTGCCTCGCTTTATGATATAAATTCTTGGCCATGCAAACCATGATAACAAGTGATTTTAGTATTCACCTCCACCACCATCATCACCTTGCCTCGATCTGTTTTTTTCTTACTTGAAGTCTCCACCATCCAGCAGACTCTTGTAAGTGGCAATCTCGGCCTCCAGTTTCATCTTCATGTTGAGCAGCGCCTCATACTCTTGGGTCTGATGCTGGATATTTGCACGCAAGTTGGTCAGCTCCTCCTCCAGACGGATAATAAGGGTGTTGTACTTCTCCATTTCCATGTTGTTTCGCATCTCTGTGTTTTGTAATGTGTCATCTAAGGAGGCCTTCTGATAAAGGAATCAAAAGGGGGAATCAAAAGAATGCCAAAGATATTTTAGGCAAGCAAGTCTAATTTAGGAGAACATGGGAAAGTCCCACCCTTTGTGTAAAAAAAAAAAGAGAAAAAAAAAATTACAAATACAAACAGATATGACAAAATATCTGAGTGGGTGCTGTGTAATAGTCTGGGTATTCTAAAGAAGGATCTCAAACAAGAATTTAGAATCTAAGAGGATTAGATTATAGGATTAGATTATTTCATGTTTTTCACAAATAAAGAGAAAACGAATGAAAACAGAATATAAAACACATGTTTGTAAAATGCATGCTTACTAAGCTCTGTTGGGATGCAAGTTCAATTTCCAGGGTCTGTATCTGTCTGGATAAGTCACTCCTCTCCATCTGGGCCCCATGGAGAGCTTCTGTGTTCTGTGAAACCTGCGCCTGCACTTCCACAATCTGACAAGGAGATGGGGAAAGGGTATTAGCCAACAAGATGCAAGATAGTCTCTGTAAGTGTATTTATAAATGATAACCTTTTTAACTTGGCATCACCTGATTTTCATGCCATCGTTTGAGATCCTCTGCATTCTTAACAGCAATCTTCTCATAGTTGCTCCTAACTTCCTCCATGATCTGGGCCAGGTCCTGACCTTTGGGAGCGTCAACGTCCACTTGCACACCTGACTGGGAGATCTGATTCCTCAGCTCCATCACCTCCTATAGGACAGACAGAAAGAGAGAAATGAACAACAACTTGTGAGCCAGTGCACCAAGACAGTAAGGTGCGATAATAAATCTGGATGTAAGCTACTCGGTCTAAACTCACATTCTCATGGTTCTTCTTTAGGAAGATGAGTTCCTCCCTCACAGCTTCAATCTCACTCTCAATGTTCATCCTGGTCATGTTGGTGTCATCTATGACTTTCTTCAGCCCAGCAATGTCGGCCTCCACAGACTGACGGATTGCCATCTCGTTGTCGAACCTGTAGGAGTGCACAGGCGCAAATCGCTGTTATCCATGCTGCGCTGTATAGTATAAAGTTACAAAATGGCGCAACTAAAGAAATGTTTCCGGTACAAACCTGCTGTTACTAAAATCCTTTAGATATTAGACCATGAACTGTAAAAAAAAAAAAAAAAACCCTCTGTACGGGCTTCCATTTGCAAAGTCCATACCTTTTGACTCCAAATCCTGCCTGCCTTTGTACAGGTTGTGGAGAGTGAGCTTAGATGTGCTTCCTTCACATAAACTTCATATATAAAACAACAATTTTAAACAACTTACTTTACTTTAAAGTCGTCAGCAGCAAGACGGGCATTGTCGATCTGGAGCACAAAACGAGCATTCTCCGAAATCTTATCGAAGATCTGGACAGAAAAAAAATCAGACCCATAATTTATTTTTGGTTTTTTTAGTTTTTTCATATATATCTGAAAGAACAATTGTTTAACCTCAAGCCTCTTAATTTAATGCATAACTTAGTAGTCTGCTCCACTCATTATATCCTATGAGGTAGCAATGAACACAGCTACAGAATTAAATGATGTGAATCACTTTTTCCCTTATGTTAAGCCCCAGAGTCAGATTACAGACTAGGGCCACAACATGGCTGAATCCATAGTAACGTTCAGTGAAAAGAGGAACCACAGGGAGGACAGGAAGAGGGAATGTTCCTGTGCCAAAACAGAATCTGGTTTGTTTTAGCACTGTTGGAAAAATGGGTTTCCTGTATAAGTCATACAGAGAGGTTTTTCTTCTCTCCAGTTTTCACCCATCTGCACTGTCTCCGTCTGTAATTTACTTTGAATTACTGTACACTGAATGCGTTTATGTGTGCAGCGGTTGAAAAATTCCTTGTGCCTGAGTGTGTTTGTGAGTTTAAAACTTTCTTATGTGTCAGTGGCATTCTGTCTCAGAGGAAATACTTGTCTCTTTATGTGTCGGGAAAAACACAGTGCCGCCATCAATCAGGGACCTTGAAGATCGGGAGTCTGTAGAAGAATGTGACATTTGACTCTGCTGACTGGAGCTGATTGTTATACAACCAGTGCACTCACGCGCAGCTATGTGTGCGCACACACAAGCACTCACTCTGGCAGTCCAAGATCCTGTGTGTGTGTGTGTGTGTGTGTGTCACTACCACACATCTGTTTCTCATTGAGGCCCTCCTACGCCAGATAATGCTTGTAGAATCACCCTTTGCAAGCAGGCAGTTTGCAAGCAGTTTTATTTTGTGGTGAAGGATTGTTGAGGGCTTTTCTTAGTCTCTCCCTCATGATACCCGCATGTTGGTGATTCATCACAGGAAGCTCTGGCCGGTTTGTGGCACGAACAAGGTTTATGGGGGAGGGTTAGTGCTTAGCAACCACACCCTTCATTCTCCGGAAAGAAATTGGATAACCTACAAAGAAAATGCTGCCTGTCTCAGCATAGACATTCTGATTCTTAATGTTCCACATCAGGCATTACAGAAATAATGAGTACACTGATAAAACTTACTGCTACAGGTACGGAAACTTTTGAAACAGAATGAGTGACAGAGGGCACTCATTGATTCTCATATTAAAGGCCCCATCCAAGGTTTCTGAAGCATTTGAACACTTCCCACACCTTTCTCATTGTCTCTCTCGCCCAACTTAGCTGTATCAAAGACATCACCCAACAACTACAGCTTCTCAGTTTTAGACATTTCACACTTCCACTTGTGTATTTTAATGATCATTTATCATTGTTATTCCTACCTGTTTGCGGAGGTCGTCTATGATGTGTTCATACTTGCTGTAGTCTCTCGTGTCGGGCCCCCCCTTCTCCAGGGCCTCCCTGATCTTCATCTCCAGCTCCTTGTTGGCCTGTTCCAGGTTCCTCACCGTCTCCAGGTAGTTGGCCAGACGGTCGTTCAGGTTCTGCATGGCTCCCCTTTCGTTACCCATGATCCCACCACTAGATGCCATGGATGCACTGCCACCACCAAAACTTGAGCCCATACCACCACCCATCCCACCACCCATCCCACCACCTATTCCACTGCTTACCCTGAAGGCAGAGGAAGAAGAGATGACTGGAGCACCAGACCTCAGGGAAGACGTGGACACAGAGGAAATGCGGGCGCCCTGTCCACCGGCACCACCATAAATGCTGGCAGCACGGTACTGGGGTGTGGAGCGGGTCATGGAGATCTGCTGCACGTTGGATCTTCTGTAGCTCATTTTGATGAAGTTTAGACACGGCAGAGAATGAAGTGAAAAATTAGATGTGGAGACTCACTGCTGGCCGGCTTAGAAAGTGACGCTGGCAGCGGGAAGTGGGGAACTTATACTCCTACTTCTCCCTCAGCCACAGCTGGTCTCTCAGACCCTGCCCACTTTCACATCACCCTGGTCTTCCCTTCCTGCTCGCCTCCCTGCTCTCTCATGCTCTCATTCACCCACTTGTTCTATTTTTTCCCCTTGGAGACAGAAAAAAACGACAATGTTTTTTTCTATCTCCAAGGAAACGCATGAGGTATTTTTTTCTGTTGAAAAGACTTAAAAACGTTCACATTTGATCAGCACTTATTTTATTGAGTTTATTTGATTAAACTACAGAGACTACATGAACCACAATGAACAACAAAGGAAAGAAAGCAGTAATAGACACGGTTTAACAGAGAAAGCTGGATTAGAATTTAAAAAGTTAGTAAAAAAAGGGTAGAATACTCCTTTCCAAAATAAGGTTTACTTTGTACACATACAACCAAATTCCTTTGGTTTGCCCATAAAAGGCATACTGTCTACCATTCCCTGCATAGTTTCTCTGTTTGTGGTCAGTTGGGCCCCATAATAAACAGATTTGTGCTTACTTTCCTATCTCGACTGAATGGAATGTGAGATACAGCAGCTGCAGTACTGATTATTTTAGTTAAACCGAGGGTGGCGGGGAATGTTTTTTTTACTGGTGAATTACTGATGGCTGCAATCACAATCACATTCAACACGACAACAGGGTGAACAGTGTTAACAATGGAAGCTGGATACTGAACAGGGAAAGCCTAAGGGCACCCAAGCTTCAAAGATACTCAGAAGACAAGAGAAGAGATGAGATGCATAAAGAACGAAAGTAAGCCAATAGCACATTGTTCAGAATACATTCAGAAGTAAAGAAAAGCTGTCCTCTTTCACCAATCATACTACAGGCGATTATCTGTCTAAATCAGTTCTATTGAGGATTTTGAACTATTATCTTTGAAATCTTATCTGTGGTACCTGTCATGAGAACTGCCTTTGAATTGTTTTTTTTCATTGATCCTTTGTGAACTACAGGGGAAAAAAATCTGAATCAAAGTAAAGAGTAACAAAACAGTGGTCAACATAATCAGAATTAATACTTACTATAATGCTACTTTTATTGGTTTTTATTTCCTGCATCAAAGTGACTAAATGACATAGTGACTACTGCTCCTAGGACTTTCACACTGGGCCCCTGAAAACTGGATAACAAAACCAAATGAACCACCCCCAGGGGAAACTGGCAACTGTTCAAACACCCTCCTGAGCTTCATACAACCTAGTTCTTTTCTTTCCTAATCTTACCTCACCTTCATGGTTGATCGGGTTTCAGTGTTTCTCACACTTCATTTAATTCTTTTAGTAAAACTCAACCAACAGAATAGCAAAGAGAAGCAAAAAGCAAAGGAAACACTGATGAGTCTGACCTGTAATGAGGACAGGCAGAATTAAAGAGGAACGATGGATTAAACCAGAATGACTCATACCTCATGACAGTGTCTCTACTGTCTTGTTTGTTTGCATGTACATTGGCAACATTTTACCTCACCTCCCCCCACCCTGAAAAACAGGAAATTAACTCACAACAGTGAACTGCCTTGACCAACAGTGCTATACAGCCTATCTAGCATTTTGCAAGGCACATATCTTTGATTCCAGCTTACACCAAGTGTCCATGTAGAGACTTTTTTGGTGAATGATAACGCCCCAGATTTTATTTCCCCACAGGCAATATCTGGGTCTAAATCGCATGGCCCTTGCTCAGATAATTGTGGGAAAAAGGGGAGGAAAAGAGGAAAAGCTTGAGTCTGTGAGTCATAGCAACACATAGCAGGAATCTGGAAACTACCACAGGAGTTTATGTGCTTCACAAATCTTGGACAACTGTCAGATTATAACCACTCTCAGCGTGGCCTGGAATGAACTTCACCTCCCTCCCTCTTTTTATTTGGTTTCCTTTCGCCCAGCTTCAGTGCAGAATGAGAACTCTCACATGCTTATATACAAAGTCTAAAATGTGTATTTGCATAGATGCATATGCATATCTATGCATATGATTGTGTACACCCTAACAGATGCAAGAAGGAATGCGGAAATGCATGTGAGTGTGACGCCCTCATACATAGTCGCTTCCTTACATCCTCCCTTCCTCTCTTGTTCACTTCCTCACTGACCCACCCAAGATGGTTAGTAAGCACCAAAAGAGGCAATTTGTTGTTGTGTTGTTGTTCTTTTTGATATATACCTATATTCCAGTTTTATGGCCAGGTCTGTCGGTGACGTATAAGGGTCACACAACAGAGGTTAGTGAAATATGTCGACTAAGAGACATTTCTCTGTGAGATGTCATGTCCAATTCTAGCGCTAAGACATTTCACAGGAAGACATAAAAGAGCAGTGAGTTAGATATGCTAGTGGAGAGTCACCTATACTCCCATTTCTCATGTCGACGCAAATGATTAATTTCATTTAAGGGAGTAAAACTGTTTCTTAAAAGAGCAACTTCACTACATGAGAATCTTAAGATTTAGATTTATCTTTTTAGAATTGTAAAGTTACATTAATTTAGATATGTATGAGGAAAAGCTAAACAACTTATGACATGCAGTGTGTTTTGACACCTTTATTACATAAAGGAATCACATTTAGTGAGGAACAGGAGCACAGGACAAGCAAACAACAATAGGGATACAATCAAAGACAGCAGTGCTTTGAGCTAAATGCTATATAGGCTCACAATGACAATGATAACATGCTATGGTTTAGCAGTTATGTTTACCAACTTACTTTAGCCTTTTGGCTTGTTAACACTGGCTAAATAGCACTGAATACAAAGTACAGCTGAGACTGATAGTACTGCATGTTTTGCAGGTATTTGGTCATAATGCAAAGTTAAGGGATCACCAAATAACTTTAAATGAATACTCTCTGCCAATTTCCTTGCAAAGCATCCAATAGTTGCTGAGATATCTCCATCTGGACCAGAGTGGTGTAAAGGACAGACTAATATTGTCATCCATAGAGCTACGCCACAAGCATAGCTAAAACTTCAGCAACATCCTCTAGTATGGATCAGGTTTCATGAGGTAGATTAGCTCACAGTCAATGAGAAACAATGATGATACCACGTGAGATGTCACTCCTCCTGTGGAATTTCCTGGGCTGAAAACACACTTCCATCCCTCAGTCACTAGGGGTCATCAGTCTCAAAGCAAACTAACCCACTGTGGAAGTCCTCACATGTGGTAACAGCATGTTTTTTGTACCTTTCTCCCTGACTTGATGCAATGATTACATGTGTGCACCAATTGTTTTACTCCAAGCACCATGCCATTGTGTTTCCTTCATGTCTGTGCTGGAGACTCTGTTTGAACAGGCATCACAGGGCGAAGCAGGAAGGAAGGGAGATTTATAACTGATTTTACTGATAGTTTTGAAGGTTTGGCAGGGTCTTTCTAAACGCTACAAAGTCCAAAGCTAAAAACACATTCATTTTTGTGGCATTTATCATTACCTTTTCATTTTATTCTGCATTTCCCTGTTCTATTTTCAATACTTTCACCTCAACTTCAGCCTTTAACTTGAGCTTAATATAGTCTGTATCTTTATTGTTTGCAGCAGTGATGACATCATCTTTGTCACTGCCTTCAGCCTGTTTAAGATTACGGTACACCATCATGGATCCTGCCCAGTTCTTACTGAAAATCTCAGTCAATCTGTCAGTGGTTGTGAAATAGGTTTGTTTCTTATCTTTGCTAATTGTATTCTCATTTCCCCCCACTTGCTCATATTCTCTCCACCCCTCCTCTCTGTCTTGTAGCATGTATGTGTCTCCCTCAGCACATTCCTGACTTGATGTGTCATTTAGCAGCTTCATACAAACCAAAACATCACTGGCCTCATAAGAGATCTAAGGTCAGAGGGTTAGCTTCTTAAATTCCCTACGTTCCTCATGCAGAAAGAATGAGGAATTATCTTATCTGGAGAAAGGAGCAAAGCAGCTTTAAACTTGTTTAAATAATCAAACACGAAATAAACACAGCTCTGTTCAACAAAAACTGGTTAACTTGCACATATATGGTTGAATCCAAGTTTAGCACACCGGCTCCATTGTGAAGAGTCACGTCACTGTTTGAGGCAAGCCAAGCAAAACTTGCATTTTCTGATTGGTCCAAACCATGAAAGTCCCTTTCAGGTTGTTAAGATGTACTTTCCACAACATGTGCCAATTCCACACCACACAGCACCTAGGGATTCGGCTCTTTTCATTAACTGGCAAATAGGTGTTTACGTTTTTTCCCCCCAGAACATTTAAGACAAAAGAATAGGGGTGTGGTGAAAAAGTTGGTTATGGGAGCAAGGGGTTTATTCTGGTACAAAATAGGCAACAGTCATCGAACTGCTCTGAAAAGAGCGTGAGTCATAAATCTGCCCAGTGACAAATGTATCATGATTTCCACACTTTGAGATGATGGTTGAGGCTCATGTTTTAAATAAAACTGTTACAAAATGATAAGACCATACTATCTATCTATCTATCTATCTATCTATCTATCTATCTATCTATCTATCTATCTATCTATCTATCTATCTATCTATCTATCTATCTATCTATCTATCTATCTATCTATCTATCTATCTATCTATCTATAACATGCAGTCTCAGGACTTGTGTTGTGTTTTTATGGGTATCTTTATGGTGGGGAAAACTGTTAAGACTAAGGTGGGGTTCACAGTAAAAGAAAAAGACGAACTCTGTTTGCTCTTCACATGGCTGATATGGAAGGAATGCTCATCAACTGTCCCTGTGTATGTGTGCATGTGTGTGTATACACTGGTTTGGTCATAGCTTACAATGGAAATGTCCAGCCCAGTGCACCTTCTAATTATGCAATGTGCAGGCTTTAAACACAGGCTTTTACTTCAAAGTTTTAGATGGTCCTACCTATAAAAGTCTACTTACCTTCTTTGCTTTTTTCATGTGTTTTATGCAAGGATTTGTTGCAACACACCTGCTCTTTATACACTTCATATAGTCATATAGATAGTGAAACATATTCAGTGGGTAAATCTGGTTCTCCCACAATTATAAGACCCAGAGTCACTGCCCACAAACACATACAGCACATCACACTGCGCAACCACAATTTACTTTGCAATATGTCACATCTATGAGAACTGTTGTAAAGTAGAAATGATGTGCCTGTTCATTATACCCAAGGTTTGACTTCATATTCTGGTGGTGTGTGTGTGTGTGTGTGCGCGTGCAGAAGATACAACAAAGATGTCAACTTTGTTGAACGTACAGTATATTTTTATGGGTGCAGAACAGAATGTTTGTAATAGTGTTTGTCATAATGTTTGTCACGATGACATAAAGTAATGTAATGTTTCAAGTTTGGAAACTACTCTTTCAGAAACTTCTAAAAGGTTGACAAGACTCAAAGAGTCTCCCAGTGTTTCTGCAGTAGTTTTATGGAAACTGGCACACTTACTATTATGTAATTCTTGTTCTCTCTCGAACACTCTTTGTGTGCTGTAAATGTGTAACATGATGCGATTTTCTTTCCTGAGATTCCGTCATCCCCCCCCCCCCCCACCTCGTCCTTCACTTCACTGCTGAGGACACCAACCAATCGCACCTCAGCAGGGTCCCTCCCATGCTCTGATAAATAGCACCAGGACCAGGGAGGGTCTATCTGCCTGAATCTCCTCTCTGCAGAGTCTCTCCTCTTACACCAGCTCCGTGCTACAAGACTCCCTCTGTGAACATGTCTGTCAGAGCCATGAAGACCACCACCTTCTCCACTGTGTCGTCCTCCAGGAGCCCATCCCAGAGCTTTAGCAGCCGCTCCTTCTCCGGCTACGGTGGTCGTGGTGTGGGCAGTGGCAGGCAGAGCTACGCTGTCCGCAGCTCCTATGGGGGAGTGGGCAGCAGTGGTGCCACTGTGGGCGTTGGGGGGTTTAAGATGGCTGGTGGGTATGTTGCTGGGGGGTCTGGACAAAGAGGAGGTGGAGTAGAGTTTGGCTATCTGGGCTTTGGTGGAGGTGTGGGAGGTGGCATGGCCAATGAAATGATGGCCCCCATCACAGCGGTGACTGTGAACAAGAGCCTGCTGGCCCCCTTGAACCTGGAGATTGACCCCACCATCCAGGTGATCCGCACCCAGGAGAAGGAACAGATCAAGACCCTGAACAACCGCTTTGCTTCCTTTATTGACAAGGTCAGTCAATTTATGATTGAGATGAAATATTAAAGATAAACACCACCATCCTAGCAGGATGTTTTGTCCTCTATGACATGGGGACAATTGCAAAACAAACAGCACATATTGTATGTTGCTTCATGGGTTTTTGTTTCTAGAGTTCTGTTGGTTGCTATGACTGTTGGCATAAAGCTATTTAATTCCACACAGAGTTGAAAAATAACTCCAGCACCCCAGAGGAAATTAGTTTGTTGCACGCCAAATAGCTCAAGGTGAAACAGATCTGATTTCACAATGGAGATCATCTTTGAGACAATCCCTGTGAAAGCTGTGTACATAACAATATGCAGTCTGCTAAAATCCATGCACAGTGAGTCTGTGGGGGATACAGGCTGTTCTGAGTAATGGCTTAGCTTCCTCACATGTTTTCAATCTCAGGTGAGATCATGGAGCTGGCATAAGAGGATCAACCTGGAAACAGAGTACATGCAGGGCAGTGATGAAGAGCAGAACAGTTTTGTTTGGATGGCAATGTGAGCAATATCCTGCAAAAAGAGATTTAGCAGTTGTGGAAGTAGACAACACTGCAAACACTTAAAGGACAAAGAAGAGTGGGAGTGGTCAGGAAAAGGTTTACATGAGACTAGCTTGTTAATTACGAGTAGAGTAGATCACTATAGTAAAAACTATCCACCTAAAACTTTCATTAACCTAAATAATACCCACTTTATGAGGCTGCATAATAAAGAGAGACATTTTCTTGACATGAGCATGAATCATTGTTATACAGCCATTATTAAACTTAGATTACTGAAGTATCTGAAACAGCTATCTTATCAGACAGGGGCCTGCACTTATCGGCCTTTCTCGTTTAAGGAGGTACCCTAGACAGAAGTTAAACTGTAAACTGTCAGTCACGCTGAGACTGGATTGAAAAAGAAAGCTCTCATCATGTTTGCTGAGCGGTGGCAGGACCCCTCTGAGAGTCAAGATGCTGAACAGAAAAGTTATAAAGGAGCGAACTGTGTCACAATTGGGAAACAGTGCCTCTTTGTGTTGAAACGTGGCACTATGGGTTTGAATTGAATGTGGAGTAATTGATGTGACATTTAGAGTGTGTTGGAGGTGGGAGAATTTCAATTAGTCATTTTTCTTTCAGTCGATGCTCATGTGGATCTTTGTCACTCAAACAAAATGGATCCATTCTTGTTCTCCGAGTCACGCACCAAAACCCACCAACATGCATTCTTCCTCTGTCCACACCGCATGTCTCACTGATTGCATAGAGTTATATATAGTTCTGTCTTATAAGTTGGATGTTTGTGCAGTACCATCTTCCCATTCTGTTATTCATCGGCCTGCTCATAGTCATACATATAGTCATACATCAAGTCTGAAAATCAGCCTATCACTATCGACCCTCTCATGGCCATTCCTGTATGACCCACAGGTATAGAACTGTTTATTAAACTATTTTTAAAAAATTGACATTTCATTTACTTTTTTTTCTGCAGGTACGCTTCCTGGAACAGCAGAACAAAATGCTTGAGACCAAGTGGAAACTTCTGCAGGAACAGACCACGTCTCGCTCCAACGTCGATGCCATGTTCGAAGCCTACATTGCCAACTTGCGTAAGCAGCTAGACAACTTGGGTCACGAAAAAGTCAAACTAGAGTCCGACCTGTACCACATGACTGGCCTGGTTGAAGACTTCAAAAGCAAGTGAGTGGATTAGAGGATTTCAACCTTTAGTGATGCCCTAACCCCTTAAACCAGCTCAATGTCTTTTTATTAATAATGGATCAAATGACTACTGTTATATTAAAGGAAGCGTTCATACTGACAAACCCACAGCATTATCCCAGACTTTGCAGTTCCCCTCAGCTCCATAAACCATTTTGCCCAGCTTTACAGTTCATCAACAAGATTCAGAGTCACAGCAGGCTGATGTTTTCAAGTTCTTTCCACTGACAGAAATCTGTTCCTTTAAATGCAGATTGCTGCTGAGGAATTCACATCTATTTAATTCCATTTTTCTTTTAAAACTGCTCCAGTCAATAATTTGATATTAACAATGTAAAATGAATACATTACTCAAATTGACAAACCCTCAATGACTCAAAGCACTTCCACTCAGCTCTACAGAGCAGTTAAGCATATTCCAGTTCTTTGCTTTGACTGTTCACCCGCAACTAATTAATACTACTAACTAACTAGTTTTCAGTTTAAGCAGGCAGCTGTTCAGCAAAAAAAGCTATAAAAACTCACTGTATGAGCTCATGTACACTGCGTGAGCACCAAACGACAAACAGACAAAGTTAACAAGTAACTGATGAACACAGGGGATTTAGCAGCTAAAGAGCCAGATATTTCCCTCAGCAGTTAGAACCTAGCCACAACGACAGTGAATATTGGACTTGCCACATAGCCAGAAACACACCCAAAATAAATTCCAACTGCTTGCTAACATGCACATCGAAAGGTAACAATTATGTCGGTGTTGTGTTTACAGTGTGTTTCTGCTGCCTCCCAGTGCAGGATTGAGTAGATTTAAATTTTGATTAAACTTTTTTTCCATTATGTGATTCAGATGAAATTGAAAAGATTAAAATAAAAGTCTCTTATTTTCCAGGTATGAGGATGAGATCAACAAGCGAAATGAGTGTGAGAACAACTTTGTCCTCACAAAGAAGGTCTGTTTAGGTTTTCTAACATATTCTTGATCTTAAAACTATAATTAGCCTTTGAGCACAATGTGCCCACACAATTGCCATTTGAACCTCCGGGCCAGGGCTACATGCAGGAATCCACATTTTCCATGTTGTCTTTTCCTGTGCAGGACACTGATGCAGCCTATATGATCAAAGTGGAGCTGGAAGCCAAACTGGATGGACTCTCTGATGAAATTGAGTTCCTGAGGCAGATCTTCGATGCAGTAATAACTTTATTTCACTTTTCAGCCACACACATGATGTTTTACCACGTCCATTTCTTCTTTGCTTATGTTGATGTATTATTCTACCTGTGTAGGAAATCCATGAGCTGCAGGGTCAGATCAAGGACACATCCGTTGTGGTGGAGATGGACAACAGCCGTAACCTAGACATGGATGCCATCGTCGCTGAAGTGCGTGCCCAGTATGAAGACATCGCCAACCGTAGCAGAGCCGAGGCTGAGTCATGGTACCAGACTAAGGTGAGACCACTCTTCATGTGATCTGAAGTTGAAGCCTTCAACCTGCACTCCATCATCAGTGAGGAGAGTCTCTCCAGCTGACTTCCTGTCATTGTACCAAGCCCTCCTGTTCTCAGCTGCACGGTACATGATTTTCACCAGTTAAATGTGGGGTGAAGTATATTCTCTTGACCTTGCCAAAAAAAACTTGTATGACACCAGATTTGTTGTAGACAACTAAAACGTATCTAGATTATCTGTTGCATTTTGAAGTCAGCCTGAGTTGTCCTTGTCTGTTCCAGTATGAAGAAATGCAGCAGTCAGCAGGCAGATATGGTGACGACCTGAAGTCATCCAAGGCTGAGATCGCTGACATGAACCGCAAGATATTGAGGCTCCAGTCTGAAATTGACATGGTTAAATCACAGGTGAGGCTTACAGATTTATATGTATATATCAGATTTATATTCAGCAGTAATTCTGGAAACTATGTTAATAGCACCTGGACTTACAAAGACCTTTGATTTTTTGTACTACTCTTCCCCCTCTACTCTTAGCGAAACAGTTTGGAAGCTCAAATTGCAGAGGCTGAGGAGCGTGGTGAGCTGGCAGTGAAGGATGCTAAACTCCGCATCAGAGACCTGGAGGAAGCTCTCCAGAGAGCCAAGCAGGATATGGCCCTGCAAGTCCGCCAATACCAGGAACTGATGAATTTGAAGCTGGCTCTGGACATAGAGATCGCCACCTACAGGAAACTGCTGGAAGGAGAGGAGGACAGGTAAAATATTACTGGGAGCACACTTGTGCACCAACCTGTGGAAGTGATGCAAGAGTTTTATTCTGTATGTCTCATGGCATACTGCTTGCTCCTGACTTTTTTGATTTTCTCTACAGGTTAGCAATTGGAATCAAGACCACTGTATCCAAGCAAACTTGTAAGTATATAAAAAAACAATATATATGTATATGTATATGTATATGTATATATAAATAAAAAGCTGGAACAGTGATCACATATTCTATGTACAGTAACACTAACAGGATCATTTCTCCTTAAGGTCTCAGGCAACAAAATAATTAATGTCATAAGATAAAATGAATACAGTACAACCCTGTTTACACAGGGCAGTTTTTCTCCATGGTTTTGATGCATTGTTAGGAACAAAAGTCTGGACTTGAGAATAGATGACACAAATCATACAATCATCAAGCTACTAACAACGAAAACAACAGGCCTGTCATCCATATCACACCTACCGCAATATTCTATCTGGTCAGACACCTTCAATAAAATAGTTTATGTGACATGCCCATCCTTGGCACCACTGCAGGGATGTCATCAAAGGTAAAGTTAATTACCTCCGCCAATGTAACCCGGAGAATATTTTTGTGTTCGTAAACTTTCCATGGTCATGCTGAAGATCACTAAGAGGCCCTTACACCTACAAAAAGATATACATCCAAATGTCAACTCTTTCCCCTCTACTTTATATCTGTGATAACGACTGTCTTTCACTTCTGAACGTGCAGCCATGAACTACAATGCCTACGGCCTGGAGAGCTCCCGAACCCCGTCCTACGTCAGCCGCTCCTTTGATGGAGTCAAGGCTAGCAGTGGTTCTGCTGCTGCCCTCGAGGGGGCAACGTTGAAGAGCACCACAGTCACCAAGACAGAGACTGTGATGATCAAGACTGAGGAGAAGACCGAGGAGGTGAAGAAGGAAGAGGAGCAGCAGCATGCAGCAACCGAGGAGTTAACTGCTGTGCAGACGAAGGAGCAGGACCAAGTGAAACCTGAGGCTGTGGCTGAGGAATGAAGCTTTTCCCTCCCCCGTGTTTTGGCAGATTTATGATTGGTCTTGGAGGTTAAAAAAGCAAGACTACTCCTACTTTATTATCCAGTTCTTAAATCATTCGTTCTCCAAGGTGCCTTCACCAAATAATGTCTGTGTTTCTACTGTAAGAAGTGCAAATGGACATGTCTTTGTCCAGGTTTCTGAAAACTCTTGTCAACTGTGGATTGAGTCGTTCAGCGATCACTGCACCATACTTGGTTTACCAGCAGGTGGCACTATTGTATGTTTTCCTCTGCTGCTCCATATTGTCCTTCCATCAAAGCACTGCTGACACAGCAACCTGTAATTCACAGTCTAGCCTAATATTCATCTGATTGACATTTTGGGGACATAAACATCGCCATAACGAACTCCTTATGCTAAACCTGCTGTACCTAAACAGTAAAGTAAGATGAAAATCAGTCACAAAAGTCTTAATAATATCTTAGAAAAACCTTTTTCCATGTATTACTGTTGGCAACACCCTGAGTCCTGTTTGCTCAACAATAAATCTTCTTCCAACAGTTTTTTACATGGTGTCCGGTTGTGTTTTTTTGGATTGTATATGGTACAATCTTCTAATCTCTTGTCTAGTTGCACTATTCGTAAAAAACCTAATCTTTTAATTTTTTATTATTATTTAAACATTTAATGGGAAACTTACCCCCGGAAAAGACACGTTAAAGGTGTGGTGGGAAAACATTTGCCTGATAGGGCTTGCTATCTTTATTCATTTATTCTATTTCAACACACAAAAACACCCACCCTTAGTTAGAAGAGGCGTGTTGCTTTAGATCTCCACGAGGAGATATGTAATTATGCAGAGCTCTCTATTGTACTAGATGTTTGAACAATTGCATTGTTTTGTCATGGTTTTTGTTGCGAGTAATGTTGAGTCTTGTCTTGTTTTTTCCATTTAAGGATTGTAAATACATTACGTGGACTCCAGGAAAGGTAGCTGCTGTTATTACAGTAGCTATGTGGATCTCTCACACACACACACACACACACACACACACACACAAATCCTTGTACTTCTATGGTTTTGAGGACACTCATTGACATAATCCGTCGCCTGGACCCTTAGGCTAGATCCACACTACTATGTTTTTGGTTTACACAGACCTTTTGCTATGTTTGCACCTCCCGTCCAGACAAAAATGGTGAATCTGAAGACCTAAATGGAGAAGTTTGAAAACGCTGCTGACCCTGTTTTGACTTTAAAATTCCGGGGTAGCGTTTTAGCGCGGACAGATGAAAACAGAGGACTTTAAAAATGATGCAAACACTCACATTTGGCTTCTGATTGGGTCTTATAGCCCTGTAGCCTACCTTACCATGTGCAAAGTATTAAAGTATTTACTTTGCAACGACTCCCACTATGTTTTCCGCCGACACAGTCTCTTTGCACTCCTGTGTTACTTTCAGAAACCTCGTTGTCAGTCCATGCAAAAAAATGATGTGGTTTGTTGTCTGTGGTAGTACTTTATTCTTTTGTTAAATCTTCTGCAACTGCCAGACAATCGTGTTCAAGTTTACACCTGAACGCTCATGTCCAGTGTAGTGAGCTCAATTTTGAAACGCATATTGTTTTCGTTTTAAAACTTTTCAAAACAAAAAGATTTAGCCATACCCTAACCTTAACCATCACAACTAAACCCTAACTCTTACCTAAACCTAATTCTAATTCTCTTGAAGCGCACACACACACACACATACACACACTACTACTACTACTAGCAGTTTTAACAGGAAAACTTACATGATATAATGACATTTTCCTGGAACACCTGACAAGTCCCAGCCTGACTCGGTCAAGGTACACGCTAATTCAGGAACTTGTCTTCAACAAGATGAACTAAAAGTCATGCACTCTTACATGTCAACAAATGTCATATTCCCAACCTCTTAAATCACTTACTGTTAAAAAGTATACATTTAAATTCACGCATACAACTTAGGAATATGACACTCGTGCAACTTGTGCAAAAGGCTATTATGTGTGAGAGTCTGTGTGTTCACTGAAGTACTGTCTGTGATCTATCTGAGAAATAGGGTAGTTTTTCTCTTTCAGCAAATGATTACCTAAGAGGCCTTTTCAGCCCTAGACGAACAGGTTTGAACATGAATTATGGGTGGTGGTGCCACACCCAAGGCCATACAAGCTCTCATGAAGTCTTATGAAGACAGAAAACTGCACCAATGCCACCCACAGTTCATCACTCTTACCAGAACTCTTGACTGCTGACATACAGGCACAATGGGGCAGACGGAAGCATTTTCAGGTTTAAAGGCCTCATCAGGTAACTGCATGAAATATAATACCACAGAGAGCAAATGACTGATAGCTGATGGTTTCAACATTTTAAGGAATGGACTTTCTTACTTCACTTTCTGGCAGCAATTGATACCTCTCTCATATCTGACTTTTATATGGTGGCCCTGAGAGAACACATGCAAATTAGCAAAACACAAGCAAATGAAGGAAACAGCATCACCATCCCATCCACACATTTAGCAGTACTGTTGGAAGAAGACACAACTAAAGAACAATACTTTGCTCATTTTCCAACACCACTAGGACAGTTAACTTAAGTACAAACAAAAGCAACAGATAGGTCCCAGGTGTGTCTGGGCATGTTCAGTTTGTTTTCCATGGAAACATCTACTATTTTCCCTTGGGTTCTGTGCGACTTGCAGCACATTTATGTTGAATTTTCCGTTTTTGGTTGGGGTTTTCGGTATTTGGTTGTGTTATTTTTCTATTTTGCAGTGTTTTTTTTCTAAATGCTGCACAAGTTGTTTTCTTCTATTTGCATGTATTTTCTTACGTTGAAGGGTGTTGAGCTTTTAGGGCCACTGTACTGTTAGATACACAAAGTTTCTGAAAATGTGTTAAATTTTAGGCTGGATAGTTTATCTGAGCTCTCTGAGCAGTTGCCAGGCAATCAGTGGAGACTCCAGGAAGTTATGCCCCCAACCCCAGCACATAACTAATTGTCGTTTGCATGGTTTTTGTACGGATAAAACAAATAAGATATAACATGTTAATTAGTGAGCTTTACAGGTGTTGGTAGGCGGAAATTGTAGTACCTTAAAATTTTAAAAGTACAGTCGTTGAAAGTAAACGTACCTGGTTGCCTTGCAGTTCAGACTCCTTCTGTGTAACAGTCTCAACTTGCACAATCCCTTGCAAACACTGAGTGGGCTACTCCACTCATAAGCTGATGAACAGTGCAGATACTTTCATTGTAATAATGTTTTGGTCAAAGGTTTAAATGCACAGCTGCAACTAGTGTCCACAAACAAAAATGCATTGTTTGGCTCAAAGTGTATGCTCTGCAGTAAAATGTACCTTTCACTGTTCAAATACAACTCATATAATCATGAACCATTTTTATTCTGTCTTATGTAACCGTTTCAGTGCCTGAGGCTTGAACCTTTGAGTGTCTTTGGGGAGCCGATCTGAGGGTCAGCCCTGCACAGGAATCTTCTCTGACAGCCTCTGCCACACAAACAAACTGTGCTGGAACAAAGGCATATCTATGCTGCTGCAGCTGCTGGAGACTGCTAGTAGGTCTGCTGTTTGCAGGAGATGCAAACCATTTGGTGGATCCAGAATCTCATTTCATTGATTAAAAATGTTGCAACATTTGTTCATTCATTAACAGTTGTCCAATCTGCCCCTAGGAGGCACAGTACTACTCTACAACTATTCTAAAAAATGACACACTGAACTAGGATCATGCAGGCTCCTCCTCTCTGCAGTCCTGCTGACCTAATGTGCAATGTTGTATGTGTTGTAGCAGGCCAGTGTGATGAGCTAAACCTAACAACTACCCATCTTCAATAAAACCTTTGTTCTGCACATAGTTTTTTTACCAGATGTGTAAGTGTGACATATGGGGTGAGGCAACAGTGACAAGTGAAACGAGAAAATTGAAAGAAACTTTGCTCCACTGCTGTGACTGACTGATGTGCAGCCCGGAATCCTCTTTCTAACCCTGGGGTTAACATCACAGCGTGTAGTCACATGTACCAGTTTTACTTTCATGTTATGTAATCTATACAATGTGTCTCTGTCAAATACAGAGTGCTAGAATTCCCCAAGGCTGTCTCCAGAGTAAATATGTTTGCAACTCAATGAGAAAAGAAAATCAAACAAATGCCTTTCTCTCTGCATCCAACTGCCTGCAAGGCAAATGTTGGTGTAGAAATGCTTGTGTACTCCTTTGTTTTATCTTCATCAGAACACGTTTTGGCCCCCTTAGAGTATTAATGAATATTTGTTTAATGTAGTTCTTTTGGGAACATCAGTTTGACAGGGCTTCAGATTTTCCATGCAACATGTCAGTGCAGGCTTGCACGGCAGCTTACAACCGGACAGTATCAGATACTGGCCATGATTACATAAAGATAAACTTCATACTGAGGACCTGAGTCAACAATGAGTCAGTCCACAAGCTCATCAAAGGCAAACCTTTGTCTCAATGAGACGTATTAAAGTGTTTCATGCAAAATGGCTACATGGCGGTTGAACAAATGTGAAATCTGTTCTCATGTAGTCAATTATATTAAATGCCAATAAAAGAAAATGATAACTTGTTATAAAACGATTAGTGTTTCTCTCCAGGGTTTCATGATTTAGTCATGTAAACTGTCAGATTTAATAGCCTCAGTATACTAAATCTGCACCAGCGGCAATATAACCAACTATATAAATTAACCACATCCAGGATTTGTCTTTACAGGACTTGACATAAAAAGTGCAAGACTGACAGGTGTTTTTTAAACCATGAAAAAAAAGCTCAGCTGAATTCCTCCGCAGGCTAAGGGCGGAGACTACTGACAGATAGAGGATCAAGATCAGTGTTGAGAGTATTCGGCTTTATGGATGCCTGGTTCAGGTGTGTCCGTTTTCTTGCATTAAAACAATAGCAACAACAATTGCTTTCTGAAGAAGTCAGACTTTTTAGGTTCGGCTGCAGGAAACTTGCATTGTATTTGAAATGTATTAAAATTAAGTATCTACTATGGTAGATTTGAGAATTAAACTCATCTAAAAATGTTGCACAAATTCTAAAAAATGTATTTGAAAAGCAAGAAGGAAAGACAAATGTATAAAAGCATACATTTACAAGTGCATGATGTTGTGCACAAAGTATGATAACTAAATTTGTCCACACCATCACTCACTAGGACCTCAGTAATAACATATAACAACAAGTAGAATTATCACCTTTCTAGTGGTATAAAAAAAGTAGAATACATGGCAAAGCTTTGTAATGGATTGCACAGGGTGGTGGAATAATGTCATCACATGCTGAGAGGAAGTGTCTGTTCTGGCAATAGAGATCTCTAAATCTTTATTTTCAAATAGCACACGCCAGGTACTTGTGGACACCCGGTGTTAAGTAGGATCTTCTCAGACATGGAGCCATGGAGGCCATGAAATGAAATTTGCCATCCAGAGCATGAGCCATCTGTTAATACCCACATCTTCCAGTATGGAATCTCAGCTACGCATGTTTA